AGCAGGGACACCATTTTACAAGGCAAGCCGCTTGTTTTACTGAAATACTGCATGCACTTTTTTTTTTTTTTTAATAAACTATTACTACAAACAAACAGCCTCCATGATTTGTTTAATCAGCATTTAGTAATTTAATGCCGGTTTAGTCTCAAGAACTGAGTACCATAATCCTAAAGATGACTATTCAGAAGACTATTCAGAATCCCCCAAATCACTGCTCCGAGTCTGGGGAAGGAGAGGGAGAAATAGTTAAAATTACCCAAAGGCAGAGCGATTACAAAGGCTTTATTTTTCTTATTTTAAATAGGGCCGGGATGTCAGGCTAGAACAGGCACTCTGCTCCGAGCCGTCTTAACCGAATTCATATTCTACAGTTTCATCTCAATGACCATGGCAATTATATGATTAAGCAGGTGCACTGCTCTTTCAGGTCTGTTCGACAAGCCCGAGCTTCAATAGCCTCCGCGATCAAACTGACAAGGCAACAATGGAAGAGTGAACTTACAGTTCCAGCCAAGAGCCCGTCCTTTTGGGGGGTGGGGGGTAAAAAAGAAATAAAAATCCAGCCGTCAGCAAAGACGCCACATTCAGCTCTAAAAGCAGCAAGATGATACCCTTGAAAGTTGTCATTTAAGCAACAAAGATGATGTATTTATTATTTTTTTTTTCCCCTGTAGTTGGTTTGCTTTTGGAGTTGGTTTGGATTTAAAGTTCTCGCAGTGGCAGGTAGCACTATACGTTCTGAGCCGCATTTAACTGGATTTTATTTATAAGCCACAACCTGTGCCAGCGTTTCTGGCTGCTTTGGGAGAAGGAAGGAGTGAGGGGGGGGCTCTCCCAGTTCTGAAATGGGGCCGTCGCCGCGTCTTTGTGCGTTTTGAAGCACCACCACGCGATTACCCTCCTTCCCTGGAGACCTCATTAAAACAAGTGCCCCAGAAGTAGAGCAGAAAGAAGTCTAGCGTGACGTTTTAAAATTTACATTCTGACTCGTAAAGAAAGTTTCCAGAAATGTCTATCCTTTTTAAAAGGAGGAAAAAAAAAAAAAAAAAAAAGGAAAAAAAAAAAAGACAAAAAAAAACCCCCAACAACAACAAAACACCACCAAACCCTACCAAAACAAGACATTCCAACGCACATGCTCTTCCCCTGGGGACAGGCCAAAGAGAACAAAGCCACGTGACCGCCCTATTGCTCAATGCGACTCTTGGAAGGTGTTCAAGTAGGATGATAAGTGCGGTGTAAGCCTATAATGAACATAAAAAGGAATTTATCCCAAATGTAAACTGTGTCCTACCCTTTGCCTCAGCCGATCTCGGCGGAGCAAACAACACGGGGAGTTTTGCGATTACAAAATACTCCGTAGGTAAACTAAGGAGCTTTGTACCTTTATTCTCCTTGACTCAGGACGAGCCTAAAATTAGCAGGGAGAGCAATGCTCTGTGTATTACGCTCCCCGGTAGCTCCAACAAACGTTCGGCTCTGTAAACTGGTCAGAACGGGGAAGATTCAAATGAAGCTGGGCACTATTTATAATTCCTTTCAGGCACAGAACAGGGTGACACTTCCCTTTTCCAGCTCCGACGCTTAAAAATAGAGCATTGGGGGAACTACAACCACCCAGCCAGGAGCATCTATCCACAAAAGGGAGGAAAATAAATCAGCGCAAAATAAACTCCCCTCCAAGGGGAGGCTGCAAACAGCTCGCCCTGGAGCGCCCGCCTCGCTCCCCGCCGCAGAACAATAAACCCCAGCTTGGAAGCGCCGCAGTCAGTAGCCCCACGGTCTGGGGGAAGGGTAAGGGGGGGTTGTGGGGTGTCAGGGTGCGTCCCTCTAGGGGTGTAAACACACAGGGCTGGGGCACCCCATCAGCTGCCGGCTCGCTCCGCCCCGGCCCCGGTTTCCGGGTAGTAACAGAGCAGCCAATCCGCGGAGTTGCGAGCTCTGCTCGAGGCCTCTTGCCTGCAAACACAGCTCCAAGGCCAGCACCTCGCCCCAAAATGTGGGGGGGGACCAGGGATAGGATATCCCCCACCACCACCATCCCAGAATCCCTGGGGTGGGGGTGTCTGGGTTGGGGGGCTACATAGAGAAGCTGGGCCTGGAGCTCGAGCGCTTCCCAGCAGGCCCACGGGACATCCCCACACTTCCAGGCCACTGGCAAGTGGGTCCCTGAGGTATTTTGGGGGGCACAGAGCCTTCCTGCAAAGCCCTGCTCGCCAGCGGGGTGCAGGCAGCGCAGGTCATCCAGGAAACTTCAGTAAACAGGGGGGGGGGGGGGGGGGGAAAGGGGTCATAGCCCCCCCAAAAAGGGGAGAGGGAGGCAGCGTGGCTCCCCCCTGCAGGCCCTTCCCCAGCGTTCGCACAAGGTTGCGAGCGCGACCAGGAGAGAAACAATGAGTGACTCAGAGTTTCAGCACATAATCGTCCAGGCGATTATTAAACATGGGTTCAACACAAGGACACGGACGTGTTAGGATTGAAAATAGGAATAATAAAAAAGACCCCCACTCGGCTCCTAAACCTGTCAGAGCAGGAGAAGGCAGCGGTGTTATTCACCCTGGCCCTCGCCCCCCTCCCCTACTCAAAAAGGTAGCCCTTGGCAGGCCATAAATCCATGCCATTATTCTCCGTCGGAGACACGAAAAGGGGCTGAAAAGGGAAACTGTAATGAAAATGGCAGCAAAAAAGGGGGGAAAAAAAACCCACAACCAACACAACAACAAAACCCTCGAGCCCCAGGGAGGAGTACATTCCTTCAGAGGAGCCCCCTCTCTCCTTTGGTCACCACTAAGACCCTCCTTCGCTGGAACCAGACCCTTATTTCAGATGGGGAAGATTTCAGAGAGGAAGATTTCTCCCCCCCCCGGGGGAAGCGTCTCAGGAGCCTGGGCCTAGCGAGCTGCTGCGCTCACCC